CCCCTCCTCCTCCTCCTCCTCCTCCTTTTCATTTTTTCCCCCCATGTCCTCCGCTGACTCCGACCCCGACTCCTCCGAGTAGGAAGAAACCAAGAGCTAATAACATACTAACTCCGAATATCCTTCTTTCTTTATGGATCTAGTGCCCACGTTACCACGGTTTTTCTCTGGAGTGGGTCAGAGAAGGTAATCGGGCCGGCATCCTCCTCCGAATTCACTCCAGAGTTAATCCATGGTACAGTTGGTACAAGTTCCGCTTTTGCTTTGCATTAACTCCAAAGTACATTTGCGGCGCGCTGAAGAATTTCTCCTGACAGCCTTGGCCATGAATTCACTCTGGTGTATACTCGCGGGTCCCATGGCGGCCTCCGCCCGTGTTGTGATGGCTAAGCTCGCGGGTCCCAGGGCGCCAAGCAGCCTTGCCCGTGGATTGCCTGCCAGCAAACGATTCATTCAAAGGCTTGCGCCTGTCTGCGCTCGGAGCGCCCCCGCCGCAAAATAAGGCAGGGGCGCCGCGAAACGCGCAAACGCTCGGTCCCCGACGCCCTTGGCCATGAGTTGTTTCGGCCGGGGGACCCCGCGAGCGTCCAATAAACCGTAAGCTCTTTGGTGGGCGCAGGCCCCGCCAGTAAACGACCCACTCGAAAGATTCAAAGAACATTCAAAGAACTGGTTGCTGCGCTTTTCTGCCCTAGCGCCCGCGGCGGGGTGGATCCACTCCTTACTTAATTCACGGCTACTTCGCGCATTGGGGCCCGCGAATTTATTCATCAAAGCACAGGCGAGAATTGCGCGGGCCGCCATGGGACCCGCGAGTCCATTCGGGAGGTTATTCACGGGCGAGGCTGGCTTGGGTTGCCCTCAAGCAAAGAAAAAACACCCAGACCCAATAATTGGCGTTTACTAAACGGCCCTGGGCGTTTTTTAACCGCCCTGCCTTGTTCGATTCCTTATTTGGGCACGTTTATTTCGCGTGTCGGGGTGGTTATTATGGGGTTGGATTGTTTGACCTCTGTACCCTTGGACTCGCGAGCACATTCCTGAGTCAATCCACGGGCAAGGCTGGCTCGGGCTGGCTGCTACACTGGCCTGGCAGGCTCGGGCCGCTGTGCAGTCCGCCACACGTACCCCGGAGTTCATTCACGGGCAGGGCTGGCCCAGGCCGCCTTGGGATCCGTGGGCTCATTCCAGGGTTGATTCACGGGCAAGGCTGGCTCGGGCCACCCTTCGGGGGCGCGCAAAACATGGATCAGCGATCCATGGATTTGGCGCGCGGTCGCCAAATCCATGGATCCAGGGAGGTGCCCTCCCCAAAATGCGGCCGGTGCCACCTCACTCGGCGGCGGAAATCCGCGATTGCCCATGGAAGTGGGACCCGTCGCTAATCCACGCCCCCTTGATCCATGTTTGCGATCGCCTGCACCCTGGGAGTCAATGCACGGGCAAGCTTGGTTATTCGGGGGTCAGTTCACGGGGAAGGCTAGCTCCAGTCGAGGCCTCCGAGCTTTCGATGGGTCCAAAAGCTGTCCGAAGTCCACGGAGCACGTTTGCGATGTTTTCCCGAAGCCTTTTCATGAGCATCTGAGGAGACGTGTCGTAGTGGCCTCCCAGAAATCTTGGGATGCGTTGTCCAGAAGCTGCTCAGCAACTGCCTCAGCATGGCTCCGAGAAGTTTCAGAGGAAGGTTCGGAGAAGCCCGTCCAGAAGCCTGGGAGAAGCCGTTCAGAAGCTGCTGGGATTATACTGCGAAGCGTTGCGGAAGTCAGAAGCTTGCGAGAAGCCGTTTCAGAAGTCCCTCTGCAGATTCGGAGCATATTTTCAGAAGTTGTTCAACGGGCTCTCTGGCTCTTGCGAGAAGGTTCATGTGAGCCACAGAGAAGCCGTGTAGAAGCTTCCCAGGCGCTTCTGAAGCTTGTTGGAAGCCTCAGGCCAGCGTCAGAGATGCTGATCATAAGCATATGGGCAGCATCTCGGAAGCTTGTCAGACGCCAGTGGCGAGCCTGTCAGAAGCCTCTAATGAGCTTGGAGAGGTTTTTCAGATGTCTCTGAAAGGCCTGCCTCTCCGAAGACCTTCGGATACGCATCCAAAGCGCCCCAGAAGCATCATCCTGAATGTTGTCTTCAGTTTATCAGAAGCTGCTGAGGATGACGATGGGGAGGGGGAGGAGCAGGGGGGGGCAAGGCGCGGAATTGACTGATGAGGATAAGGATGAGGATGAAGATGAGGATGATGAGGGAGAGGAAAAGGAGGAGGAGGACGACGACGACGACGAGCAGAAAAGCCAGAGGCCTCTTGGAAGCCTTTAGGGGTCTCCTCGGATGTCAGTCGGAAGCTTTTTGGAGTCCCTATGGGGCGTCCCCAAGGAGTTACTGGATGAGGTTTTCGCCAAGGAGGTAGGATACAGTTTTCGCGGGGTCCACACGGAGTTCAGATGAGAAATGGTGAACGTTTCGCGTATCCCCGCCAGCCCATCCAGAAATTATGCCTAGGAAAGTTGGGGTGACCAGGGAAGTGCAGGAGCGAGATGGGGGGAGCCATTACCTGTCGAATGAGGAGGAGGATGCAGGAGTAAATGGAGGAGGAGGAGGTAGAAGGAGAAGAAAGAAGCAGATGAGAAGCAGGAGGAGGAGGAGGAGGGCGAGCAGAAGGCCAGAGGCCTCTTGGATGCCCGGGGGGGTCCTTGGAGGCCACTTAGGCCGTTTTGGATGCCTTTTGGCTGCCTTTTGGCGGTCTCGGGAGCCCCTTGGGCGTCTTGGGTGCCGGTGAGGGGCGCAGGCCTCTTGGGGCCGTTGAGGTACCTCGGGGGAGCCTCGTGGGGCTCTTGGGAGCCCTGGAGGCCCTGTTGAGGCCATCTTGTAGGATATCGATCAAAGAAGGGAGGGTCCTTCATCAGCGCCGCCCCTCTAGAGCCTCTAAAATCGCCTCTTGGGGCCCTGTTGGAACGCCCTTGGGCGCTCTTGGAGCCGTCTTGGGGCCCTCTTGGGGCTTTCTTGGTGCCTCCTCGGGCCATCTTGGAGACATCTTGAGGCTTCGGAAGGCCACAGGAAGCGAAAAGGCGAGAAAGCAGAACACGATTGGGGCGACTTTGGGAGCTCTCTGGGAGGTGGTTCGAGGCCACTTGCAGCCGTCTTGAGGCGGTATTTGAGCATCTTGGAAGCCATCTTGAGCCGTCTTGGAGGCCATCTTCGGCTCTCTGAGGCCCTCTTCGAGCCATCATGGGCCATCTTGGACCCTCCAATCGATCGCGGGGCGCCCCGTCCAGGTCCAGGGGGAGGTGGTAGGGGGAGCGGTACCCCTCCCTGAAGGGGAAGAAGGGCAGATAGAAAAGAGAAAATGCCCTAAACCATTCACGCCCAGACGGCTGGTGGGATTGGACAAGGAACCCAATGAGTTGGGATAAGGCTTTCGTAACAACCCCACGGAGTCTGTATACGGTTTTCGTGAGAGCTCCAAGGAATTAGAATAAGGTGTTCGTATGGTTCCTGAGGGGGTAAGACGAGTTGTCCGAATACTAGCAGGGAGTTGGGATAAAGCTATTGTAAGAGCCCCGGAGAGGTTTGACAAGGTGTCCGTAAGAACCCCAAGGATTTAGGGTCCCGAGTTCGTAAAAAAATCAAGGAGTTGGGGCGGGGTGTGCGTGAAAAACCCAAGGAGTTACAAGAAGGTCGTCGTAAGAATTCCAAGAAAGCGGGATCAGGTTGCCGCAGAATCCCCTGGAGTCAGGATAAGGTTTTCGCAAGCATCCCAAGTGGTTAGGGTAAGATTTGCGCAAGATGCCCAAAGAGTTAGGGTGACGTGTTCAGACTGACCCCAAGGAGTTTGGATGAGGTTGTCGCAAGAAGCCCAAGGAGTTAGGATAGGGTTACCATAAGAAACCCACGGAGATAAGACCAGGTGTCGCAATAGCCCCAAGAGGATAGGATAAGCTTTTCAGCAGAACCCCAAGGATTCAGTATAATTTGCTCGCATGAGCCCCAAGGATGCAGGATGAGGCTTTCGCAAGACCCCCAAGGGCTTACGATGAGGTCTTCGTCAGATCCCCCGCGCATTGGGATAAAGTTCCCCCGGGAATCCCAACGAGCCGGGGCGTGATTGCCGCAAGAGCCAAGCGGTTTAGAATGACGTGTTCGTAAGATCCTCAAGGGGGTGGGATAAGGTTTGCGTGAGAATCCCGAGAAGTTGAGAAAGGGTTGTCGGAATTGTCACATTAGGTCGGATGGGGGTTTTCGTAAGAATCCCCAAAGGGTCAGGATATGATTGCCGTATCACCCCCAAGGGATTACGATAAGGGTTCGGTTAGAATATCATCGGCAGGATCGGATGTGTGCGCGAACCCTTACGGGTTGGGATGACGTGTTCGCAAGGGCCCTAGGAATTTAGGATGCGGTGTTCGTGCATACCTCAATGACTTCGGATAACGTTCTCGCGAGAACCCCACGGAGTTAGGATAGGGTGCTCGAACCAATTCCAAAGAGCGGGTGCGAGGTCGTTGTAAGAATCCCGAAGATATCAGACATGGTGTTCGTCGGAATCCCAAGGGGTTAGGACACAATGTGTCGGTGAGAAATTCCAAGACTTAGGATAAGGTTGTCGTAGGAACCCCAAGGAGTTAGGATCAGATGCTCGCAAGACCCCGCGGTTTTCAGATAATGCGTTCGCGAGAACATCAACGGTTCAGGATTTGGTGTCGTAAAAACCACGGAGTTAGGATACGGTACTCGTAGGGCGAGGTGTTCGTCAGAATCCCCAGGAGTTGGATAAGGTTGTTCGGATAAGGTTTCGCCAGAATTCCCAAGGAGATAAGATAAGGCGTTCGCGGGAAACCCAAGGAGTTAGGATAAGGTGTTCGCAAGAAACCCACGGAGCTAGCACAATGTATTTGTAATAACCCCACGGGGTTGGGAGCAGGCTTTCGTATAAAACCCACGGAGCTCGCATCAGAAAAAAAGGCGCCAGGGTAATGTTGTCATGGGAAGGAGTTATGAAAATGAAGTTGTCGCAGGAGCCCAAAAAAAGTTAGGATTGGACGCTCGTTAGTATCCCATGGAGTTAGGATAAGGCTGTCGTAAGAACCCAAAGGCGTAGGAAAATGCGGTCGTAAAAATATTCCAGGGCAATCGGGCAGGCCGCTCTGAGGCATCCGAGAGATTTGACGCAAGTTTCTGAAACGTTGTTCGTACCATTCATTCTGGAGCGTACTCTCCGAATGCTTTGAAAGGCTGTCAAAACGGCTTCCTGCAGGCTGTTGAGCGGCGTCTCTCCTAGTTTCACGAAGGTTGCTCACAGGCTTCCCAGGAGCGTCTCAGAGGCTTCACAGAGCATACCAGATGAAATGTATGAGGAGCTTCCCGGCTTTTGGGACACTTCGCCGAATGTTTTCGCAACAACGTTTGGAATGTTTCCGAACTTGTCGAAAGCTCACAGGGGGCTGATGGAACCAGCCTTACCCGTGAATTCATTCGAGAGTAAATTCACGGACGGGGCTGGCTCGACCCTCCCTGGGACCCGCAAGTTCATTCTGGAGTAATTTCACTGGCACGGTTGGCCCTATCTGCCTTGTCACCCTCGAATCTTTTACGGAGTAAGTTCGCGGGCAAGGTTGGCCCGATCCGCCCTGGGACCCGCGAGTTCACTCCAGTTGGCAAGGTCGGCCTTATTTGCCTGGGCACCCGCGAATCTATTCCGGAGTGAGTTCACGGGCAAGGGTTGGCTCGCCCCGCCGTGGGACCCGCGAGTCTACTCCTGGAGAAAAGTCGTGAGAATGTTGGCGCCAAATCTAGCGCGAAACAATCTTACTCCGGAGTGAAATCTCGCGTCCTGGAACTTGTGCCAACCATCCTTTGAATCAGCTCTGGCGTAAACTCATTCCGAAGCGGGAACGGGCGCCGACCTGCTAGAGAATTTGATTGTAATGGCCTCCGGCCAGTGCCGCCGATCTGGGGGGCTCCAGATTCGGTGATCTTCGCGGTTCTGTGGCCTCCTCCCTCCTCGATTATTCCGGTCCTGTTTCTTCTCCTCTGGAGGGGTGCTTGGAGCGGTCCCGGGTGGGTCTGGGGATGGTTCCGAGGGGAGGGTCCTGGGGGCGGTAGCGGCCAGATCCGAGGGGGTCCTTGGGACCCCCCGAAACATGTTCGGGATGCGCAAATCATAAAGAAAACGCCAGATGGGGGAGCCCCCCCCCCTCCGCCCCTTCCCGGGGGGGGGGTCTGGATGCGCAAATCATGAAGAAAACGCCAGATGGGGGACCGCCCCCCCCATTTCCCCCCCTTCCCCAGCAAAGCCACCCCGGCGACCCCCCCCGAGCAGAGTTATAGCTCTTGCTTAGGTTCAGAGCTGAAGCTCTTGCTGAGGCTCTTTGAAGTTCACACGCCGGATCGAGGCATTTAGTTTTGGGGAAATCTACAAAAATTGCCCCTGAGTTCACGCGGTTCACGACTCCTCCTCGTCCTCTTCCTCCTCCCCTTCCTCCTCCTCCTCTTCTTCCTCCTCCTCCTCCTCCTCCTCCTCTTCCCTCCTCCTCCTCTTCCTCCTCCTCTCCTCCTCCTCCTCCTCCTCTTCCTCCTCCTCCTCCTCCTCCTCCCTCCTCCTCCTCCTCCTCCTCCTCCTCCTCCTCCTCCTCCTCCTCCTCCTCTGGCCCGCCCGCCCAGCCGCCCATATTGTCAGGCCCCCGCGGGCCCCCCTCACCGCTCCACTTCGGCCCCCAAAGATGCCCCCCAGATGCGATTTTGGCTCTGAGTGGGGCGTCCCCAATATGCCTCGCCCCTCAGGAGCCCCGAGAAGCCCCGAGAATCACATCTTGGGGCGCTCTTACTCTCTTGGGTTTTCCGTGGAGAGGTCCTCCCCCATTGGAGGTTCGAGGATTGTTCGATCTTCAAACGTCGAGTCGATCGATCGATCGGTCGATCGCCTTTATGTTCAGCAGCTTTTGAGCGCTTGCGTATTTAGGCGGCTTGTGGAGGGCGGCGAAGGACGGAGCGAGGATCGAAGTTTTTTTTCACAGCCCCTGGAACCAGGACATTGCAAACCATGATTCCGAAAAAACCCAGCTGGAGGAAGCGAATGATGAAGAATTGTTCGACCCACGGTTGGAGTTTTGCCGAGTGCGCCTGATCGTCATGGTTTATCAAAGCCCTCGTCTACGGGGTCCTGGGCTCTTGCGTATTTAGATGACTTCGGGGGGCGAGGGAGGTAGGGACCGAGGTAAGGGAGCGAAACGAGGGAGCGCAGCGAGGGAGCGAGGGAGGGAGGGCAAGGGAGCGGGGGGACGGAGGCCCACACGCAGATCTGGACGTCGCCACAAAAATGGCGGTGCCCAGTCGTTCAACGTGCTGAGCCCCCTCGCGTGCCGTCTCCGAGCCCTGCGGCCGTCACAAAAGGGCTCTTTTGGGATGGGGACCCCAGATCGGGTGCAAGAGCAGAGTTTGATAGGGGGTCCTCCCTCTGTTTCGCAGCTTGCACGCCCCTAGATCTGCATGACTGGCTGGCTCTCCTCCTACAGATTTGCGTGTGGGCGCTGCTCCCGATACGCTCGTCCGATGGCGATAGTTCGCGGTTGCTCGTCGTGGAAAAATGCGTGCCCCCTAGGTAGGCAAGTTCATGCGAAACGTTGGGGCGTTGCAGGCAAAGTCTTTGTGAACCCCGCGTTGCAGTTCAACGTCCCGCTGTGACCAATACGTTTGATCTTGGTGGTGCGAGTGCCCCTGCCCAGAAGTGGGCGCGGTAGCGATTTGGGAGCACACTAACCTTGCCACGCGAAGGCACCGTCCGACGTGACATCGCGCGTGCTCTCCGACAAACGGCAGTCATCATCTTGGTGGGGGGGCCCTTCTCGAGACGGGTTCCAGCTCTAAACAAGCGGTGGTCAGGACTCTGTCTCTATGCTGGACTTAGGTCCCTCCTACAAGGTGAAGCATGATGTCGGCGTCGTAGTTTCGGTTCGACAACACGAAAATGTCCACGTGATATACGCTCCATTTGTGCTGTCCTCGATCCCGCCCCAAAACATCTGGAAATCGTTGACGGGGTCACGCCAAACGGAGCAGATCCAGAAGTGGAGCATCCAAGCGCCGGCATGCAGGACCCCTTGCTGTTGGGCCAGGCCGCCTCATCCTAGGCCTCGAGGCTGGGGCTCCTTCAGGGCAGCGCGCACCCGCTGGGGAGCACAGGCGAGCGGGCCTCGCCGATCGAGATTTCCGATCGCCGGCGAGCAGATCCGGTGCGGTCGCGAGCCCAGTCAGCGCTTGTCGATCGGAACGAGCAGGAGGGGTGCTTGCCGAGGTGCTGCACCTGACCCAGGCACCGCCCGCCGCGCCCGCTTGCTCTTGCTGCGCTCACCCCGCGCCAAGGTGATCGAGCATCGGTATCATCGCTGGTGCGTCGGCCCATCCCCATCAAACAGAGGTCAGAGGCACCTGGGCCTCTCGATCGCCTCGCAGATGCATCGTCGCTGGTGCTTCCGGTCATCCTTTTTCCAAAAAAACGTTGGTTGAGCTGCCGGCTCTTGGCGGTGCGGGAGCTCCGCCCAGGATGTTCTTTTCCCTCGAGGCCACCCCCCACGGCCACGGGCCGATCCGCACCTTGCATGCGAGCGTTGCGCCGAGCCTACGGCCAGGCTGCACCCTTTAGCGGGCGAAGAACGGCATAACATGAGTTGTTCCACTTTCAAGAGCGCCCGTCACAGGGCGGCTGGACAGTTTATTCCCCCACATGCCACCGTAGAGAAATAAACTTCCCAGCCGCCCTGGGACAGGCGTCCCCGATGGCGAACAAGTGTTCTGAAAATTGCTTTCGCCCGTTCAAACCTGCCTGCAACCCCCCCCTCCCCCACCTCGACGTCAGTCGCGCTTAGCAGGGAGGAATCCTGGTTGGTCGATGGTCCTTGGAGATCTTGAGCGTGGACTGTTGTCGCCCTATCGTCGTCCCCTTCATTGTCATCGTCGTTGCCACCCTCGTCGTCGTCGTTGCTGTAGTCGTCGTCGCCCTCGTCGTCGTTCTCGCCCTCGTGGATGTCCAGCTGGATGGCCTGCACGCTGCGTTCCTGCCCCGCCCGACCCGAACCTCCCGGGCTCCTGTCCTTGGCATGTTTCCGTCACGGGGTTCTCTGCATTTTCACGGGCTCCCGTCCTTGGCATGTTTCCGTCACGGGGTTCTTTGCATTTTCTCATTATCTCTCTCTCTATTTCTATATGAGGGCTCTCCTGCTGTCGCCCCATCGTCGTCGTCATCCTCATCGTCGTCGTCGTTATCGCCCTCGTCGTCGCCGTTGTCATAGTCGCCGCCCTTGTCGTTGTCGTTCTCGTCGCCCTGGTCGTCGTCGTTACCATGGTCGTCGTCGTCGCCCTCTTCGTCGTCGTCGCTCTCGTGGATGTCCGATTGGATGGTTTGCACGCTACCTTAATTTCCCCGCCCGTTAGGGTCTGCCCGCCTCGCCCGTGAGAGTCGTGGTCGTAGTCGTAGTCGTAGCCCTCATAGTCGTCGTCTTTGTCGTCCTCCCTTCTACCTTCTCCTCCTCCTCCTGCTGCCGTTCCTCGCCCTCCTGATGGCCCTCTCGTCCGCTTCTTCTTCCCAAGGGTGGGTGTATGGAACAGAAAGAGGTGCACAAGAAAGGCTAGGACAGGTTGCGTCCAGATTGCGTTGAGATATTGTTCAGACTGCCTTCATGTTGTATCCATGGTACATGTCGACGTTTCGGCTCGCCGCCGTGGAACGTTTTCCCACCGTGAGCTCTTCCTCATCGTCCTCATCATCCTCGTCCGCCTCCTCCTCTTCCTCCTCATCCTAATCCTCTTCTTCCTCCTCGTCTCTGAAGTTATTTGCCGCATAGTTCACTCGTGAACGGGGGTGCAATGAGGGCGGGCGGCGTGGGTGCGCCGCGAGGCGCGCACTTGTCGTGGCCATTTTGGGGCCAGTCGCGCCCGCTCTGACTCGAGGGAGGGTTCTTTATTTTCTTTCCCTGCCAGGCTCCGCTCACACCTACCGCGGGGGGAATGGCGGATCCAG